TTGATTTTAACCCAAATAGTAGAACCAATTACTTATAACTCTGGTCAAACTTGCAATTCATTTGGAATAGAAAAACTAAGTTTGGTCAATTTGACCAGAGTTATGAATGCACGTCACTCTGGTTATATCGGCACTCAAAAAAAATAAAGAAAATTTCCGATATATTCAGATGTCGGTTTAACCAGAGGCATTTTCATATTAAGTATATGGATTCAAAATTTTAAAAAATGTCATTATAACCAGATGTCAGTGTATTCAGATGTCGATAGAATCAGAATGACGTGTAATCAGTTCCACTATTTAGATTACAATCAAAACCATATCGATATTTCAGTCAGATTTTCAGTATAACGATAATATATTTATCAACCCTGTGATTTTCACTATATATTACGTATCATATGACTCGGTTTTTCCAAAATTATATTCTTAAAATGGTAAGATTCATTTTATTATCTAATTTGTGGACCACAAGAGTGGGCACGTGGTAGGTATCGTATCCGGAGTTTTACGGCCGACGAGTACAGGCTTTACCCGTACGCACGTACGTACGTACTGTACCTATTTAATCCTTATGTCATGTCTTTACGGCATAAGTTTTGTACCCGACTTTAGGAAACCCAATGACGAAAAAACAATTAAATTGTTCATTTGAGTAACATGTAATATATTAATACTTATTGAACCGAATTTAAGCTTATATCTGTAATAAATATATCAAGAAAATGCCCGGATTAATTAATGTTCCCGAATTTAAGTGAATACGTATTACATAACACATTATCATATGCTTGTCATTATACTTATTGTTATATTCGGATATATTATTAAGTTTGGATTTGATTGTTATACATAACCAGGTTCAAGCATCAACGTTTGTAGACGTTAATTAATTTAATTTACTACCCTAATACGGAGTCTATTCACTTAAAATAAAAAGATTTATGTATAACACTCAGGTCAGAAATTTTTACCAAGTTTGTCAAAAATAGACCAAATAAAACCCCAGCCTTTTGAACTCTAAATTAGTTAAAGATATTCGTAAAGATCACATTTTATCGATGTGTCGGTACAAAAATATTATGTAGATACACAAAAGTAATTTCGTTTAGAGATTAAGGGTTTTCTTTGACTTAAAGAATTGTCAGCTGGTAAGTCACGTACGGAATAAATGCCTAAATAAATATTCAAAAAAAAACCTATAAGCAGAAATTGATTCATAGGTTTATGAATCTGCAAGGACCCAGACTATTCATGGGCAAGTTAGACTTCGCTTATGCACGAAATTTATTTTGAAGGGTTTACCTGACTAAAGTTGAAACTTTGAAAATTTTCACAGACTTTTTTAGTTTAAATAATGCACCAATCTACGAGGGTCTTTGTGATTAAAATTCCAATTATTCCTATTGGCCAGGTTAAGATATTTTCTGGGGTTAAACCAATTGGCCACGTTTATTTGATCACGTAAGTACGTACGTAAGTTAAAAGCCGGATATTAAAAAAAAATCTCGGCAAAATTCTGCAGAAGGCCCCCACTGATATTATATCTTATTATATCTTATTATATCTTAACAATAAGTAACGTCCAACCTGCAGACTCCATCTATATACGTAATAATAAATATTTGCAATGTCCTTAAACCATTGTAATTACGGATTTTTTAAAACTGTCATCCATTATTGATGTGTTACATTAAACCTTAAAGAGCGTAAATAAGTAAAACAAATATATCAATATATTGACTTAAACGTAGTATTCATTATTGTAATTTTTAAAGATAAATTCGAAACATATAATTGCATTATCTGTGTTTCCCTGATCGACATTTTTAAACGTTAGATCTAAATTCTAAATTTAAATATATGCTGCTTAACTAATTTGATACTCATAATGTATGTCATCGTCAATGACGTCATAAAAAGAAGGGACCCGATCTTTTGTGACACGATGAATTAATAAAAAGACGCCTACCGCGCGATCGTGATTTCTGTCCTCTTCAAGTCTTTGGTCTTTAGTACTAAATTGTCTTTGGCTACTAAATCTCTTTAGATATTAAATCATCTTTAGATATTAAATCATCTTTAGATATTAAATCGTCTTAAATCGAAATGCTCATAACACAAGACGAAAAATCAACAGATAGTTTAAAAACTATGCCGCTATTAGATGACACATCTTCTAAGCCTAAGCAGGACCAACATTATATAAATATTGCGCCCAAATTCCCACCCGTGGTAGATATGATTGAATTAATTTCCAAAAAATCGCCTGATGGCAGAATTCCCTCGAGAGCACCTAACGCTTTTATAATTTATCGAAAGGTTTATGTAGAGGCAGCACGTGAGAAGGGACATTTTTTACCGATGACTATTGTATCCGCTATGGCATCACAAAGTTGGGAATCCGCAGACGAAAGTGTTAAAGCGGAATACCGACGAATTGCTAAAGAAGCGTTGAGGGTCCGTAATGAAATGTATCCTAAATCTGGGAGAAGAAAGAGAAAAGATAGATGGAATATTGTGAGTTTCGATCCTCCGGCACCTCCACCGAATAAAAATGACAGGAGACGCAAAAATGTTAAGAGTAGTTCGAAAAACATTAAAGGCGGAAAAAACAATAATATCGAAACTATTAAAGATATTAAAGATACTAGCCCTGTTATTTTTAACACAACA